TATGAGGAGAATATTCTACTGTGATTAGTCAATTATTATAACTATAATCACTTACAACTATGCTTACGCAATTGTAGAATAGACTTTATAAACACTACAACTACAATACAACACCATGCTGGATATATTTCAATTTAAAACTTACCAAAGTGTTAAACTTAATCTTAAATGAGAGGAAGTGGTTTTCGGAAAGTAGTTGTTGTCTTTTCAGTCAATGGAGTAATTAATTTCAATAAATCATGAAACAAATATTTGGTGACATGTAATTATAATACCATTCCGTGTCATGTAATCAGGAGACGCGGTAGTGTCTCCGGCCATGTTCAAAAAAAACTACTTCAAGATTAATGAAAATGAAATGAGAAACACTACAAGTCTCTTATCCCGCACCACCAAAGTCCATTTTTGGAGGTTGCATAACTACTAAAATATAAAAAATTTTGAATTGGACGCAACATATCCTGAAGGCGGCATCGCCACGACTAATTTGAGCTCAAAAAAATGAAAATCGGTCAAGCCGTTCTAGACATATGAGCGGTCAAAAAGTGATGATTTCGTGAGAAATGAAGTAACGTCTCCTTCTTCTTCTTCTTCTTCTTCTTCTTCTTCTTCTTCTTCTTCTTCTTCTTCTCTGTCCGCTTTCAAGGCCATATTAATAATTTTAATGTCCTCCCTCACCTTTCACTCGCACCTCCACCAACTTCGATCCACTCTTCCCCCTCCTCCCTCTCCACCCCCTCCCCCACCCCCACCCTCACCACCCGCTTTTTCGTCGTATTTCATCCTCTTTCGTTATATTAATTATTTTAACGTCCTCTCAACTTTCACTCACACCTCCCCCAACTTCGATCCACTCCACCCCCTCCCTCACTAACGTTCCTCCACCCCCACTCTCACCCCTAACACCTTTCTCTTTTTCGTCCTATCTCACTCTCTTTCGTCTTCTCTCACCCCCTTCCGTCCTCTCTCATCCTCGCCTGCTGATAGTGTCCGATGGTCACTAAGGGTCCTGACCTTGACAATGTGAGTCGGAGTCATTTTAATTTTTTGGGATAGCTTTGTAACGTGTGATGGATGAATGGTACAACCTTCCGAAGGATGTTCGGTGTGATGACCTTCGTAATGTGTGGGAGGGTCAGGGTCGTCGGAGGTGAAATGTTCATTTTTATTTTAATATCTTCTTAATGAGTAGCGGTCGCCTGCTGAAAGTGTTCGATGGTCACTCAGGGTCGTGACCTTGACAATATGAGTCAAGGCCATTTTTATTTTTTTGCATAGCTTTGTAACGCGTGATGGGTGATTGCTACTTTCTTTCGAAGGTTGTTCGGTGTAATGACCATTCCTAATGTGTGGGAGGATCAATGTCACAGGTGGTGAACTGTCCATTTTTACTTTAATATCTTCTTAATGGGCAGCGATCGCCTACTGAAAGTGTCCGATGGTCGTTCAGGGTCGTGACCTTGACAATATGAGTCAGGGTCATTTTAATTTTTTTGGATAACTTTGCAACGCGTGATGGGTGACTGCTACAACCTTCCGAAGGCTGTTCGGTGAGATGACCTTCGTAATGTGTGGGAGGGTCAGGGTCATCGGAGGTGAACTGTTCATTTTTATTTTAATATCTTCCTAATGAGCAGCGGTCGCCTGCTGAAAGTATCCAATGGTCACTCAGGGTCGCGACCTTGACAATATGAGTCAGGGCCATTTTAATTTTTTTGCATAGCTTTGTAACGCGTGATGGGTGGCTGCTACAATCTTTCGAAGGTTGTTCGGTATGATGACCTTCGTAATGTGTGGGAGGATCAGGGTCATCGGAGGTGAACTGTTCATTTTTATTTTAATATCTTCTTAATGGGCAGCGTTTTATCCAAATATATTTGTATAAAAAATGCAGGGATGGGAGGTAAACTAACGCCGTAAATTTTATCATTTATAAAAACAACTTGCTAATGACTTTATAGCAACGATAACTGACTATACTAATTTTGTGCTAAGCTTGGAAAAGTCAATTTGAGAGGTAATTCTTTCGATATATTGCTATGAATAATAAAAATTTATTATCGAATAACTTTATGATATTTCAAAGAGTATCATCAAGAAAAAAATCTCTATGTCAAAGATCGTGTTAAAATCGGAGAGACGAAGAAAATATGATTATGTTCTCACGAGAATGGGCGATGTAGGGGCCCATTCTTTATTTTCAGTATATATATATGTATATATTCATAGAATATTATAAATTCATTCTGTTGCAATTGAAATAAATATGTAACGTATGGTATAAATATTTATTATAATTATATAAACAGTTACATATATACTATTAAATAAAATGTATATGTACAGAATATATATTTATATACATATATTTATTGTATATTTATATATGTGTATACCATATATTTCAATTTTTTCTAACTGTATTGCATAAATTGTAGCTTATAGAAAGTTACGTGATAAAAATCGAAAATATATATAATGCATATATATATATATACATTTGTGATACTTGCATTACTAGAAAGCTACTCCGTATATCTGTACTCTGAAAAGTAGGTGATATCCCAAAAAAATCATAAAAATGAAAAGTCAGGCCATGTTCAAAAAAAGATCCTCAAAAATTTAAACCTTTAAAAATTCAAATGATTATCTAAAATAATATATTACCATGAAAAGTAACTGATATATTATTAATAAACGTGCCAGTTCAAAGTGAACATACATAAAGTGTATATTATCTAAATTTAATAATATATTACCATGAAAAGTAACTTGTATGTTATTCAAGGTGCAAATTCAAAACAAACATACATATATAGTAAGTAAAATAGATTACAATTTGATTCTAGAAAATAAGTCGATATGTATGTTATTATTCTTAGTGAACAAAATATAAAAGTCGTTTATTGAGATTTGATTTGAAATTTATACTAGCCCGTACGATGAAAAATAATTGCTTGTAATTCCAGAGTATCAATTTGTTAATGACTCGGAAAAAGAACATGGCGGCCTGCTCTCAAAAAACTTTGATGAGTTTCTCGGTGTCCACTTAGAAATAATGTCGAAGCTTTTACAGAGTAATTATTACAACACTTGAAGTACGAAAAGTATTACATTAGAATCGTATTTTCAAAAGCTCTATAACGAAATGAATATATATTACGTTAAATAATCAATAACTTTTTAAATGTACAGCTTCTTTGTACTTGACCTGAGAACTTCTTATTTATGAATTTTGGGTTTAATTAGTATTTACTCGTTTCAGGTAATAAGGCAACGTTTTTTTTATCAATAAATTACTCACTGAAAATACGGCATAACAAACTCAAAATCCGAAGTTGATACAAAAATTCGAAGTTTTACTAAAGGAAGATGGGAGGCTTTTAATCTAAACAATTTTCATAATTCTTTTATTTCAATTATTTATTTTCATCCCTCGAAAGCAGGCCGCCATGTTCTTTTTCCGAGTCATTAACAAATTGATACTCTGGAATTACAAGCAATTATTTTTCATCGTACGGGCTAGTATAAATTTCAAATCAAATCTCAATAAACGACTTTTATTTTTTGTTCACTAAGAATAATAACATACATATCGACTTATTTTCTAGAATCAAATTGTAATCTATTTTACTTACTATATATGTATGTTTGTTTTGAATTTGCACCTTGAATAACATACAAGTTACTTTTCATGGTAATATATTATTAAATTTAGATAATATACACTTTATGTATGTTCACTTTGAACTGGCACGTTTATTAATAATATATCAGTTACTTTTCATGGTAATATATTATTTTAGATAATCATTTGAATTTTTAAAGGTTTAAATTTTTGAGGATCTTTTTTTGAACATGGCCTGACTTTTCATTTTTATGATTTTTTTGGGATTCCATTTTAGTCACAAAATTCGTTGCTGCTCCTTGTTCATTTCGTCTAGTATTAAGCTGATTCTACAATGAATCAGTAGTCGGTAGTCCTAAGTCTTATCGGTGAATCAGCGGAGTTGGCCAACAGCCAACTTGTACGACTGACTACTGATTTTCGTAAGACTGATCAAATTCGATTTTTTTCTTTCCCATTAATCGAGCTAAACGACTCGCTGTACAATTAACAACTAGTAGATGCAAAAAATCATAGTCACCTATTTAGGTTAGAACTGATTAAGACTTAAGATTTCCGACTACCGATTCATTGTAGAATCAGCTTTAGTAGAACGAATCCAGTACTGTCTTTCTCTTTGTTTTCTTCTGTTTTGTATCCGTTTATAACGAACATATTTTAGAGCACTTTGCAATAATATTTTTCTTCTAATTAAAAGTAACTTTTTTTTATCCATCAAGAATTCAATGTAAAACGTTTATCAAGTTTTTAGTTAGGTTATATGCGTGTGTCACCGATGTCACCATTGGAAAAACATTAAACATGCAGCATGAGATCATTAACCATTTACGCCACCTACAGATTTTCAATCGTATTAGTCGACGACGTATGCAGTGTGAACAGCATTTCGCATGGCTTCGTACCGTCGGATGTTGCATGACGCACGTCAGATGCAGTGTGAATCCAGCATATGGCCAAAGTGCACATAGTACACGATTCCAAGCATGGTGGTTGGATGGTTCATCTTTTAAATTGTACTTACATATCCCTTCGTGCACTTTCATGCACTAAACTTCTACACAAATAAACCCGTATTAAACTAAAGAAAACATAAATTAATTTGTACATATTCTTTTGTTCATAAATAAAGTAATTACAATTAAAAAACATTGATTTACATACTTGACAGCTTCATTTTTCTAAATAAAGTACGTATATAAATGCATAAATTCGAAATGGTCGCGTTTTGCGTCAAAATGGATGCGAGTTTGCGGTACTACTTTATAGATCTAGTGACTTTAATTACGAACTAGACTCTAGAGCATTACGAACGTTAAGAAGCGCGAAGTTGGCTGAAAAAGCGTTCAATACATTTCAAACCACATTAAATTGACACGTAAAATCAAATGTAACGTTATTGAATCAAGTTAAAAAACTTGACAGCCCCCAATTGGAATCTATAAATCATGCGTTACGCGAAATGTCTCGGTTCTCTGAACGTTACTGCAGCCTTGGTCTGTTATTATTACATATTCGGAAATGTAATCGCCGCCGCCGACGATGATTCTAATCGCAATTCACGCAACTTTGAACGCATGTACAAATGGAGAAATTTACAAGAAGGCTTCCAAGAGGCGAAAATCTGCCGGAAACCGATATTTCTACTAATCCACAAACCGGGCTGTCCGACTTGTGAGAAATTGAAGCCCAAATTCACCAATTCGATCAGAATTCTCGATCTTAGCCAGCAGTAAATACTTTTTACTGAACGTCACTAAGTACAATATATATTTCCCTACTTTGCAGAGTTGGTGGTTACTTGCGAATCACTTGCCAACTTGAAAACGCGCGCACATAATGCGAAGACATAATTCCTGTCACTAGATATGTTATTATGTATTATAGACCATCGAAGGCTTGTGGTGCACGAGATTCAAGCCCAACACACAATGCTAGGGAATAGCGATAGCGATAGGAATAACATGATTTCAACCTATCAGAAATCGAATATATCGGAATACACAGTTTCTGATAAGTTGAAATCGTGTTATTCCTATCGCTATCGCTATTCCCTCGCATTGTGTCTTGGGCTTTACAGTTCTAATAATTATATATTATAGATATATATATGTATACATATACACATAGATATACGCAAGATGATGTACTATTGATGATAGATATCGACAATCTCGAATTGTAAGCGAAACAAATGTCTTTTTACGAGTTAAAGTAGCACATTTGCCAATTGAAAATAGTCAGAAATTGAATTCTCTTGAAATTGAAACTGTACATTAATTGTACTAGAAAACGTTGACACGCTTATACTACAATTAATGACCTTAGTATCGATACTAACAATAAGATATAAGCAATTAAAAACTGCACTTTTTATACGTGTCGCTTATACAAAGTTCATGAAAATGTCGCATTTATTTTTCTAAGGTCTAAACTAGCAGTGATACGTTATCTAATAAAAAAAAGACGAGCGTGCGATGGAGGAATATGAAATGGATATTATGGAAAAAAATGTCATAATTTTTTACCGTTAGTTTGGAAAATAGAGCCGTGAAAATAATGCAAACATTTATTAATGTGTCATGTGAATCAAAGGGGATTGACAATGATAAGTAACTAAGCAATGAGCTGCGTCTTACAATTAGTCTGCGTCTATTTGTATAATTCACTTTTTTTTCCGCGTGCAATGTGAACAGGCGCGAAAGCAAAAAAGTTTCTCTCACTGTATTGCATAATGGCGGGAATGGGAGTATCATCATTGATACTCGCTGATGGGACTTAACTTTTGAATGATATCGCGAGTGTATTACCTTCTTAAACTTGACGTTTGAAGAGTACAATTAGATCGAGTGATAAATATAGGAAGGGAACTACACACACAAAGACAAATGAAAGATAACAAAACGCGTAAAGATTAAAAGGATACTATATGTATGTATAATATTAAATTCGTTGTGTAAATTTTTTCGCAGCTTTGTTATGGTGGGTGTGAGAAAAGATGAGATTCCCACGCAAGACGAAGCAAAATTTCAACCGGACGGAACCTACGTTCCAAGGATCCTCTTCTTCACTCCGGACGGCGAATTTATGAAAGATGTTTATAATCATCATCCAAAAGCCGATGATAAATATAAATATTTCTACAATAATACAAGTCAAATAATAGATAGTATGATTTTGGCATTGAAACGTTGTTCCGAAGAACGATACTCTTGATGATAAAACGGAAAAGAAGCAATACTCAATTTTTCAATCTGACTTTGCTGCTGTCATTACAATGATAGTTGAACGTAGTTGAAATAAATTTATTTTGTTACAAAAAATATAACACTTTTCTTAAATTATAGTCATGGATGATATATTAGAATTGAACGGATACAAATAGAATGTTTTACTAATATACAAATAAAATTAATTAAATTATATTATAATAATAAGAAAAAGAGAAGGAGAGAGAGAGAGAGAGAGAGATAGAAATAAAATTATCTGCAATAGAATCTATATGTTGTATAATAGCAGCAATGTAAATAAATATTAATTATTTTTTATTACTCGTTCAATCTTTATATAAATGTCTTTCTAAAGACAAAGATTATTAAAAATTATTAAGAGGGTAAAGTAGTATATGTAACAGAGAATAGATTAATTTAAAATAAATCAACAGCTTTCCTCTCTCTCTCTCTCTCTCTTCTCTCTCTCTCTCTCTCTCTCTCTCTCTCTCTCATTAATCTATCCATTTTCCATCTTTCACAACCCACAGCGCGCACACGTAACAAAGCTCTCTTACCCAGCATTCGAGTCTGCGCCTGTACGTCATCAGATTCAATACTGCGTCCAGTATACGGTAGCCTATAGCGAGATCGCAGAGGTAGGCATGACGGCGCTTGCGTTTGCAACAGTTGCCAGAAGGTAAAACGGCTTCGCATTGGTCGACGAGATCGTAACTGAGAACGCAACCCCTCGTAACCACGCCCATCTCTCTTCCTTATTATAATATACGCGACTATTGAGTATATTTGCATATATCTTAAATCAGTACTACCTTCTTAATGAAATTTTTTTTTAATGGAAAAGTAAGAAAACAGAAATAGCTATCATCACTGTGATAAAATATATAATACGCAAGTACTAATTTAAAATTGTATATACATATCATTTATTATTTACGTTCTTTCAAAAGGAACTGCAATCCCTTTGCATCAGGCAAATATTATATTTCTTAAGCCATTGCTCGATTGAATAGATGGATTTCTAATTCTTATCTTGATTTTCTATGAACAAAAATTGTGTTTTCTTTTCATAAGTGAATGCTAATTTTATCGTCTTATATATAATATTTACTTAAATATACATATTTACGCGCGTGTGACAACAAGTTATCGGCGATACCGATAATCCTCTGCCAATTAACAAAATTTGCTAATATAGAAGTTTGATTTTATGATTTAACAGTAGAATAAACTATACTTACGAGAGAGTTAGTATATTTGTATAAAAGAAACAGAAACGAAAGAAAAAAAATAGAGAGCCTAGAGTAAAAAAGAAAAGAAAAGAAAAAGAATAAAATTGCGAATACTAAAGTAGCTCGAGTAGAGAGATGGTGGCTGGCGATTTCGCAGGACAAGTGGAGCTTACGCACACGTTATACGTTATATATGGATCTCTTCGCGGACGGTTCTGTATTTGAAGGGTTGCGGATAATATATAGCCCGTTTCGGCGGAGAGTGCTTTTTGGCTTTGACCGTTTCACATCCAGTGGCAGACCGGCCACGGCCGCGCCGCGCGTCGGGCTATCGCGTATAGCCGCGTATAGCGTATGCCGTATAATATCGGATCCCCGAGCGTGCGCGCGCGCCCACGTCCACACCCGCACCTATACCTCTACGCGTCCGTCACTTTTTTTTCCCCCGTAAAACTCCGACCACCATCCTACCGGCGGATACGGGGGCGGCTTTAAAAAATGAGCCAGGACATTATTTCTGCTCACCCCTTTCTGCACGGACTGACCGGTCCAGTCCCTTCCTCTCTTCCTCCCCCTCCCCCTCCGGTGCAGCTTGCGATGTGCTGCATCAGCGAATGTGCAAAAATGAAAAGAGAGAATCCGCTGTCCGACGGAGTCCGCACGGAGGGGTAGGTAGGTAGGTAGGTAGGTAGGTAGGTAGGTAGGTAGGTAGCTAGATAGGTAGATAGATCGACGAGGAGAGATCGAGAGATCGAGATGCAGGGAGAGTGGGAGGAAAAGAAGAATTCTCTCTCTCTTTCTCTCTCGCGCGCGCGCGCGCGTCTCCCTCCTCCGCCTGTCCGTTTCGGTATGCGCTCGCGTTTGGATATTCGCTGATGCGCGCTCGGTACGGATATCGCGGCGAGAGAGTCTGCACGGAGCCATTTTCAATTCAATCTGTTAAAAGCACGTCAAAAAGTCATAGGTACGGTATTTCACCAGCGCAGCGCGGTAGATCCCGACGAGATCGCGCGCGAGCTTCATCGTGATCCGACAGCGGCCTGAATGCAGGCGCGCGCTAATCCACCATGTATGGATGACACCACGTATGCACCGATATGTAGTACATATGTGTGCTGATGCTCTAAAATCTAAAACCTTGGATAAATTAAAGAGACAGCAACCACTTGCTTAAAGATGAGACCTGCAGGTCCTGCGATCAGAGTCTTCAAAGTAATCTTTCAGAATGAAATTATTTTAAGGAGGTTGTAAGGGCATAAAACACATATATATTAATATTTACGCTTTAAACAAACTACATAAATGTGAAAGTTTTGTTCATAACATTCTGTTTTTATTGAGCAACACATTTTTATAGATTATTTATTTTATTTGTTATTAGTTTTATTGTTATAAACAAAAATTTTTTAAATAATAACAAAAATCTAAATTTTTTAATATAAA